GTGATGTTGATACTACTCGAGTGGTCCACGCAGCAGAAATGATGAGAGAAGTACGATGGAATCGAGTAAAGCCCGAATTCAGATACAAACTACTTGAGGATGAAGGCTTTTGGAATACGGATGTGAAATGTTTGTAAGTTGCTGGAGAACTCCTGAATTCGTGATATGTCAGACGACTTTTAGGTTGTATATCTGGTTGGTTGGAATGTCCATCTTCGAGAGTGGGCAGACAATGTCCATATAGTGAGAATTACGGAGGTCCATTAGAGAAAATCTGTCTCGTCGGTTCAGACGACCCCTGTTGGATCGGTGCTGATCCGATACGATGTCGACACAAGCACTTCGGAGCAACTGGCAATAGTGAGGAGTCGAGACTGGGCGTCCTTTGTGGCTATTGAGGGTGAGATATGACGGTGACTACTTTTTTCAAAATTTCTTCGGCTAGATATTATTTTCACGTAGTTTGAGCAGTCAGCTGGATTGTATGCTGGAGAAAATTACCACAGTGGGTCATATGCGTATATAACCGTGTCGATGGCAGGAGTTTATTCGTTTATGTAATACTCTGATAATAGCATCGTCAACTGACCTTACTCATTGTCATTTATTCGTTTTATATTTAACTTGAGAATCTTGTTCAAGTTTTCTAGCCGTGATCAGGGTTGCGTTTAGCTTAAATTTTCTTTCAAAACCCACAGGCAGGTACAATATCTGACACAAAAGATGCTATTGAAGCGTGCTTATGTGCGTGAACTACAGCAGCGGCTAGTTTATCGCCCACTTCTTTCACCAGGATGCCCCAGGAAGAGCTGTGTTCACCAGATGTGATTTATCATCGGTCCTGGCGTTCGGCAGGTCCTATCCTCTCGCTTTTTCTCATAGATTTGAGGTCGGGAACCTTTTTGACTCAGAGAGCCGAGAAATGAAATATTTGGAAATGCGTGTCAGTGAGAACCGTATAATAACAAATTCTATTTGTATCTGAGAAAGCCAGATACGTGATTGGTGGAGATAAAATTAATTCCGCTACGCGTCCGGGCGGTGGCACCTCATTGGAGGAAACAAAATGACAAAATCTGAAGTTTCTTATTCCAGTTTTATCTGAGAGAGCCAGCTGAATTCATCAAAAGAGCCACACCTGGCTCGCAAGCCATAAGTTCGCGACCCCTGTCTTAGATTGTGTGGTGGAAGGCGGCCATTGTTACAACGCTTTGCGATTCTAGGGTCAGCCATCTAAGACTGGGTGCGTTCTGGACTTTGCCGACAATATCCACGCGCCCGGGAAACCTTTGGGGGATACAACTTCCTCCCTTGATTGTGCACAGTTGCAGGATCCCATAAATTTGTTTTGGAACTCAGCTCGCTACTGAGTTTGTCAAAGGTTGGTTACGTCGACAACACGAAGGTTTCCCGAATTAGGAGTAAGGGGAGACCGTGTACGCTGGAACGGCTTTTGCTGCGATGAAATGGGCTTAGCAAAGGCTGTGTCAAGCGTTAGCAACCAGCTGTGTGTCGATGCTGTTGGGGGGTCTTGACTGCAGGGTATGTCCTTACGACCAATCAAATAAAGTGGCGCGCATCGATTGGCTTTGAGCGTGCGCGCTTATTAAGTGGCGAGGCGACCGTGAGCGCGCGAAAGAATGAGGACGCGCGCAGAGTAGATTGTCAC